AAAAGCAGATGCTCTCTCGCTGCTGTCGTGATGCAGCGGCCATCTCCCCGTCAGTTAATGTTGTTTTGGGCCTGAATGGAACACAACTGGTTGCTTATCAGGAGTTAATTTTGCTTTAATCCAGTTCCTCGTCGTGCCATTGCATCTACAGTTATTAGATATGACTGTAATTTAGCAGAAACACACCTTACAGTGACTTTGAAAAATTACAGCCAATCAAGCTTTTATCACGAATAGTATTATCAAAGCACTGACGCTTTTATGCTCTCCTCTTCTGCTTTTATTCATTTTATTTACTGCTTTATTTATTTTGAGAAGGAACTGACAGTGGCACTTTAATGCCAGCAGCTCTCTCCTGCTCTCTCTCTTTTTTTCAACATTTCTTGCAGCAAGCACAGGCTTGTGATCAGTATTCAGGAAGACAGTTGTTGACGCCATGCCAGCATTTGCGTTGCTGGGCAAGTTCCTCTTCTGTTCCTCTTTCTATCTCTGAGGCAGAATTCATGGCAGACTGTCCTCCGAGTGTGACAAGTGGAACTGTGTGATTAATTTGGCCAGTCGTTTTAATGTGCTCCGGGATGCGCGACGCTTATTGTCTTCCCCTTGCACGTCTATCAGAATCTGCCAGAGAAATGTCCAGGAGAATCGAGACATCCATCCCTCTCTTTCTGTTTTTTTCCCCCTCCCTCACGCTACTCTCTTTCTCAGCCCTGCCTCATTTCAGGGCTGAGCTACAGGGTCGTCATGGGGGCTAGCCCAGGTCGAGGCCTGGCTCCAGCCAGGGCCGCTGGCGGAATAAATCTCCTGTCTCTGAAGTGTTGAAAGCTGTGTAAATGTCAAACGCGTTCGTCTGATGTGCTGGCTGAGGGGAGGAGGGGTTGGAGAGGAGGTGGAAAGCTGGGAGGGAGGGTTTGTGGATGAGCCATCCACTGATTCTGGTCCCCCGTTGCCCTTCGTAGCTGGCGGTTGCCAGGTGCAGATGTTGCTGCTTGCTCCATGCCTCTGAAGAACTAGCCTTTTTTTTTTTTTTTCGTTTTTCTTCCTTTTGAGGTGGGGGGCGGAGGGGGGGCGGGGGGTACTGCAAGAGACAGAAACCACCAGGGGCTTGGCTCCTGTCAGGCAGCTTAGTGAGCAGCGTATCTTTTCGATTTTAACAATGTCCCCTCTGACCACCAGACATGCTGTTTAGGGAGGCTTCTGTTTGGGGTTGTGGTTTTGCATTTTCATCATTTGGCTTTCTTGTACCTTCTTGCTGAAAATTGTTTTCCTCGTGCAGACAGTCAAAAGAAGCATAGGGTGCTAAACGACGTAGCGCTGCTCTCGCCAACAACAATGCGTGCACAAACACGAGCCAATCTTGGACTTTTATTGTGTTTCTTTCTTTGAATGGACCAAGTGTTATAGCCCAACAGGGCAATCACATATGGGCCTGACAAAAACTGCTGTAACACTGCCTATCCCTTCATCTCTATAGCATCCCCCCCGCCTGTTCTTACTGTTGTTTTGTTCCCCTCTTTCCACCTACCTCTCTCTCCCCTGCTGTGCTGTGCCTCTCTCTGTCTCTGTCTGAGCCCTAGCTACTATTCCTCTTCTCGCTCTGCTACAGTGCATGCTACTTGTAAAAGGATAAGCACCATGCTGTGCTCTTTTGATATTATTTTTCCTCCTCGCCAGCTCCAGCCTTGTGAGGCCTCATATCTAGTGTCATGGCTACTGCTGCAACAACAAGGCCAAGCATGCACCCAGGGAATAGACCATGCCAGTTGTTCATCTCCATCACCTACGGTTTAAACTCGTCCTCAGTAATAGAATGGATCTCACAACTGCTGTGAGATGGAAGTCATCTGTTCAGCTGCATGCTAAGAATACATTTACTCCATTTTCTGCAGGGAAGGGGTAATGTTAGAGAGTGGATCAATTTTCTTTTCTTTTTTCGCAATTCATAGTTAGATGAAGATGGAGAGAAGCATTGTTTTGAATGTGATTTCTTCGTGGTAAAATACCAGAATTCTGAGGGAACAAATGGGTGATGATAACAGGTTGTGATGTGCTCCTAACTACCAGTATAGAAATGGATTGCAATTAATTTGTCTGGAATTCACAGCCTGAATGGAAACTGATTGACAAGAATCCTTTGCCACTTTCTCTTCTTAATGCCCGGCACTTTGTAATGATTGTCTTTCGACAAGCAGTAGTTCAAAGAAGAGAAAAGAAGATATTTTGTATAAAAATGTGTCCAATATTTTCATTTGTTTAAGTACTCTGTGTGTGTGTGTGTGTGTGTGTGTGTGTGTGTGTGTGTGTGTGTGTGTGGTGTGTGTGTGTGTGTGTGTCTGTGGTGGTTTTGTGTGTGTGTGTGTGTTGTGTGTGTGTTGTTTGTGTGTGTGTGTTTGGTGTGTGTGTGTGTGTGTGTCGTTTGTGTGTGTGCATGTGTGTGTGCGTGTGTGTGTGTGTGTGTTTGTGTGTGTGTGTGTTACTGTGTGTGTGTGTGTGTGTACCAACCACAAAACACAGAAAGAAACCAATGTGACGTGATGTGATGTGTGCCCGTGTGGAATTGTGTAGTCGATGCTGGTGAATGATGTGTGATGTGCTGATGTGATAGGTGAGTAGACATAAGATGTAGTGTGGAGAGAAAGAGAGAGGAGAGGATCTTTTAGGTTAATCCTAGAGTGTTAAGGTCTGGTGGTGTCTGCTTTTAAAATGTGTGGTGTCGTACTGACAGATCCCCAAAGACATCTATTGGATTTAACCTGCTCTCTGAATTATATAAAGCAGCTCTTTCTAGTGCAAGTAGAATAATTTACAGATGGTGAAAATTTCAGACTTTATTCAGTTAAACAACAGAGAAAAAAAGTGTTTCAGATTTACCTAAATTTCATCACATCTGTGTAAATGTAGGCATCTACACTGAGAAAAGTATTATGTTATATTTAAATGTAAATGGCACATGACGCAGAAAAAATATCATTTCTAGTTGTTGAACGTATATGCAAAGGCCTGGAATTTGTAGTAATGTGATCAAGATATAGGTTAAGTTGTATATCACTAGTAGCTTAGCCCTGTTCAGGAGAAGAACCTCTTACAAGCTGTTGCACATTGCAGTGGAAATCGCAGATCTCTGCAGTCATTGATTTAACTATGATTTTTACATCTTATCAAAGAGTAAAGCTTGAAAGTTTCGTTGAGCTACAAGTGGACCTTTTAACCAGGATCAGCCTGAGCACATGAGCAAATCCACCAGTAAACTGCTCAAAAAGAAGAAATATAGACATGAATCCCATCGAAAGGCAGGAAAATTCTTACCGCTATTTATATTGAATTACTTAGTGAAAAGACTATTTTCCTTGTGGTGTCGTCGTGTGTACTATTTAAGCAGTGCGTTTGACAGTTCATGACTACACTCTGTTATTCAGAGCATATACTTGTTTTATACCCTCCAACAAGTGTATTTTCTTCCTGCATGTCTGGTATAAGTAAACACACACATCTTACAGAGTTGTTAGTGATGACTCTGCAGCCAAGGACTCCTACCAACCTTTGGCATTGCCTAGTCGGATAAGCTATTGGGCATGGACTCACCCCTGAACCCACACACTCACACACATCCCCCCTTTCTCCTCTCCTGAGAGATCTTGGCCACCGAGCCCTTGTTCTGATTACTCTCGTTACTTAATTATACATTTGGACCCACCACGCTCACGACAAAAGGACACTGTGCCTCCATTGACACAGCTCCCTCCTCATTGTGCTCCACTTTGAAAGGGAGTCAAACAAAATAGAGAGGGCCCACTTAAATATGTTGCCACAGGGACTTAATTGACAGATTGAAGGCAGTTTTTTTTCACCATCGTCCTTTCTCCATGTGGCTCTTTGGTTGAATTGCTCTGTTCCTCATGCATCCTGCTGTGAGGTCCAGTGGGCCTGGCATGGCAGCTCAGCCACTCCTGTTTCCACAGCTTCTCCATCTTTGTGGTGTAACCAGCCAGGAGCCGTTCGTGACGAGCGAATGTTAGAAACGGACGCAGGAGCTCGTAAGGTGCATACAAGTTCAGGAATGTTGCAAAGAAAATCAAACAAATGCTGTTAGACAGGGTTATTGACTTTACCTTAACTTAACACATTTTTCCGGAGTAAAGGTGAAAATAATTTCCCGTATTTGTGCGAGTTTAATCGTGTTTTTATTATTTGCCAAAAAGAGTTTTGTGCCGGTGAACATACCAGGAATAAAAGGCCGGGCTCTTGGTATTTGCAGCATTCTTGTCATCTGTTTGCAAAAAGTGGCAAGGTCTGACTTTTTTGAAATCTTTTTCTTTGATATTCTTTTTACTCTTTTTGATATATTTGATCCCAATCACTGCATATTTCATTGGTGAAATTTGAAGTGCTGAAGACAAACCATTTCTCTTCTTGACTGAATGGAAGGTGATTTGGCCTTTAGCTGTGCTAGAACAAGGTACATTTCAGAATACAACCTCTCTTGTTATTCAGTTCCTTTATCCCTGTAGAAGACTGACATACAAATTAAAGACTGGTTTGTCACACCACGGATTTGAAATACCACACTTAATAGGCACTGTGCTGGAGAATTCAAAGAACCTACGCTCTCTGTGTCCTTGAGATGCTATCGTCCAATTTTAAAGCACACTTAAAAGGCTAAATGACAAGCTGCAGCTGAATGCCAAGTCACTAAACAGACTCTTTATAATAGAACCCCGTGCAAAGTATTTTCATCCTTTGCAAATTTAAAGCAGTGAATTTGCGACAGAAACACCAGAAAGGCGTTTTGTGCCACTGTGCTCCTTTTGAAACTTGAAAAAAACCTCTTTCAGACTACCGCACTCTCCTTTCCCTCTTCATCCTCTGCCGTTTGCACTGAAAGCTGACAGTGAATGAGAGGTTGCACACAAAAATAACATCTGCACTGATTATGCTACTGGGGTGGGGAGCCAAATGAATAATTCCTTATATTTCCTGTGTCTGTCTCTTTTCTGTTACAGTGTGACAGCGAGAGTGACATTGACGACAAGGTAAGACTGCTTTTCCTGTGTTTACTCACCCAGCGCATGAAGAATCGGAGAGTTGTGAATAACAAATTTGAGCTCTCAACTGAGAAAGGGGAGATAGTCATAGTGTATTGTTAGCGAAAAAAAGATAAGGGGGTAAAAAGCAACTGCGCCTGGTCCCAACACTGTTGATCATTTGAATCGTACGGAGCATGAAAGTGACAAGAAAAATGTTGCACATCAAGAGACTGATTTTCAGTGTTGGTTTTCTGTTTTTTATGAAAAGACGCGGTACCTATTATTTTTGGAACACTTTATGCACAAATATTTCCTACATATGCCTCCTAGCTTAGATCGTAGTGTGTGCTGCATGCAGTAAAATCTGCATTTAATCTAGTCACATAGCACATAACACCTTTATCTGCTTCTAAGTTACTCGACAGCAGCCGGAGTTTGTAACGCGTGTGTTTTATTTTCAGTATGATGAATGACAGATTTACAAGTTACAACCAGAATGTTTAACAAGATCGTTCAACAATTTCATTTAAAATATGCTTTAGTTGTGCTGCTAACTAGTAACACCTTGATTTTCTTCAGAAAGCGTTGTCATCAGGTTACCAGTTCACAATTTGACAGATGTAGTCTATCAGTTTCACCTCTGAGTGTTTGTAATCATCTCAGAGGTGGTTGGCTGATGGCAGGCACCTGGTTACAAGATGAAACGCCTTTGGGGAACCTTACGCATCCTAATTCCTGCACAGTTTAGCAATTACTCTCTGGTAAATGAATTTGATAGCATGCCTAATCTCCTGTAAGCTTAGCTCCCAGTTCTGTGGAAATGTCTGCAGCTCTCCCTATAAATAATACATTGATAGCAAGCCCAATTTGCATTAACTGTAGCCTGGCAAGTCAATAGGCTTTTATCTCTTCATTTAAGCGAGGAGGAACCGAGGGCACGAGCTAGTTGACACGACAGAGAGATGTAGCAGGCCTGTCAGTCTCCATACGGCTCCCTGGCAACACTGTGGGTGGAGGAGAGAGGGAAGTAAAGTAGAAGGAAGTGTTTCCTTCTAAGGGTTTTTGTTTCCTCTCGGTTACTTGAGACTCGTTTTAATTTTCAGTATTGAAAAAAAAAAGTTTGGTACTACAGAACTAAACATAAAGATGGGCAGGAGAAAAATCAAGAAGCGCTTTGACAGTTTTACAGAAACTCAGCTGTCTTTCTGTGTTGTTGGTTATGTGTCAGCCTGTCTGTGGACTGGGACGCAATTCAAGACATGGTAGACTGTTAGACACTGCTGCCAAGTCTGATTGTTGAATTTCGTGCCAATTATTTCACAGTCCAAGAGCCAGATTGTAGCTTCACCTTCTTCTCAGACTATTTTTCATTAGTATGTCATCAGGAAGTGTTTTAGCTTGAGAAATCTCTGGAAAAATAGTAATGCCACTTTTATTGCACACCAGTTTGCGCTCTCACTGTGAGAAACATAGTCAGTGCATATTTCTGTAGATGTTAGTGCAAAAAGACATCTTCCTGAACAATCAATGTGAATCCTAAACCATAAGCAGCAAAGTAATACTGCAAGTGAAAACAACTTGTGAAAGTTACTATTAGTCAAACTATCTAGGCTTCAGTGTGGTCGCTAGCTTGTTTTTGTCTGTCTCAACTCTTAGTTTCCATTCTCAGTTCTAAGTTTTTTAAGTACAAGTTTCATGTTTTGTCAAGTCTATATTAAAGCAATACTGACTTGCCCATATGTACAGTGAAAGAGTCGTCAGTGTTATTATTCCTCTCGTTCACACACTGAAGTTGACTCATCTTAGTGGCAGTGATAGGGAGCAATATTCACACGCTTGTTGTTTTCAGGTAGAATAAAATGAACTGCAAAGTTCAGATGAAACTAATGTGCATTGTTACACATGACAAGAGCTTTATAAAAATAATAAAACAACATTTTAAACATAAAGATCGTTTTTAATACTGGGATGAAAACGCTTTGGAGTCAGTGAATGATTCGTTTTCCTCTCTCGAGAGCCTCTGCCAGGCCTTCACTGCAGCCACCTTCAGCTGCTGCTTGTTTATGGGTCTCTGCATTCACTTTTGTTTGCAGTAATCCAAAACCTGGCTTTTTCCCCCTTTTTTTAGCTGCCAGCTAATATTATTTTGACTTCAGCAAGCAACATATGGTAGGAATGCAGCACTGGAACACAAGAACCTAAAATGTATGCATACACTGCCAATCCATAGTTGATTGTGGACTGGCTAGTCACACAGGACTATACTCAAAAATGATCATCTAACTACCTTATTGAAGAATGAAACTAAAAAATAATAATAATAAAATTTTTTATTAGATAAGTAAAAACGGGGGCCTCAAAAATAAGTGCTAAAGTGTTCTGTTCTTCCAGTAGTGGTAAAGTTCCATTCCCACGAGCAGAGGTATTGACTGTAAACAAAAGATTTCTCCTAAAGCCAACAGGAAATGTAACAGAGCAACGGCATAATTCCAAAACTACGTTTCGCTCTTTCGCTGTTGTGGATTCTTTGAAAAGTCTCTGTTAGTGTTGACGTGTTTTCCAAGCGTGCAAGAAGAAAAGAACATCTGGATAAAGGCTATAGCAGCCCTGCCCTTTTTATTCCCTCAGAAACACGTATTACCATAATCAAGGTGATGAGAGTTGCGAATCATCCATATCAAATTGCAGAGGAAGGGAGAAGAATGGGGAAAAAATAATTTGACAGGCCATCACCAAAAGCAGGAAAAAAATATGACGGTGTAAAAATTGGGTTCCATGAGGAGAAAGACAAACACTGTCATTTGTAATTGCCTGCACTCAGGATAACTCGACAGTGATAATTTTCTGCAACGTTTTGCTAAAACAGGTGCCAGCTCCTCCCGAATCTTTCCAGTGAAAACAAAGGCTCCTTTCACATCAGATTACCAGGCACCTGAACACCCACATTGTCGGGATTTCACAGATTAACTTAATTAGAATATTGCTTCCAGGTGTGCCCCCAGGGTGCAATCAGTTACACTGTATTTAAATAACACTGACGAGTTGCTACAGCAAAGTCAGTTTAGATTGCTGCACCTTGTGGAACTCGCTTGCATCAAAGCAATGCTTTGATATAGCACCCAATGGCGTGTTTCCAGAGCATGTCAGATTTGAAATCTTTAGCAATTGCCCAGTCGTTTCTAGTTAAGTGTGAGGGTGCCCTAAGAAATAGCTTCATATAGATGAGCCTGCCTTGATGAAACAAGCAATCAGAATCTTGGTATAGTGTTCACATTGTTACCAGTGTTTGTTGAGAGGCCTGTCATGTGATGTCATGTTTGACAATGAGAAGTATTCAGTGTAATTTTATATAATATACCCTTGATATTGGCTCGTCATATGCCTGCACCTCAGAGGCATAAAACAACCCACAAAATTAGGAATTCTTAAGTAGAACAGTCTTTTCACTGTGTTTACTGTCATTAAAGCAACGGTTAATGTGTTTGCACAAAGCTATGCTAAATTTGAAGCTTGCAAAGAAAGTAACCACAGCTTAAATAAGAAACAGCGTAGCAACACAGAAACTAAATGTATTCACGTGAGACTGTGCTGCACACATGGGAACATCATTCACTGTTAAGTCTGGATCTAAATACTTTGAGCTGCTAAAATGCTCTCATATGCCCCAGAACACGTCTTAGCTCTGCAGAAAGTGGGCTGAGTGATTGGTTGTGCTTGTAGAATGGGAAAATTAGTGTGCAGTCACAGGGTCAATGTTGGGTGAAATTGTATAAAGAGTTTCAAAACAATTTTATTTTTATAACACCAAATCGAAACAACAGCCATCTCAAGACTCTAAAGACCCTACAATAATAGACAGAACCCCAGCAGTCAGCACTTGGTGACAGTGGGAAGGAAAAACTCCCTTTTAACAGGAAGAAACCTTCAGCAAACAACATGTACTTAAAATGTAAACAAGCACATTTTTACGCTCTTTTCCCCAACAACTCATCAAAATCCTCATATCACCAGCAGTAATATCTTTCTGGCTCCTAACCACTTCATGGATTTCTTATTTCTTTTTGCTGATTTATCACTTGACAGTGATATTAAGCAATTTACTAATTAACTTAAACCGTCTTTTAGTATTACTGATTTCTGCCTCCATCCTTCTGCAATGAATGAACTTTCCAAACTGGCCAGTCTCTGACACATCTGAGGTACTTCAAGTCAGGACATCATTTTCTTTCATTGGAGAGCCATGGAAAGAAATAGAGTGGTATTTTATCCCTTCTCAGTTTGTTCATGCACTCTCCTGGAGTGTCATCCTATCTCCATTAGGCCTCACTTTGCCATCTTCCCTAGCTCCTCCAATTTCGCTGGTATTCTTTCTCCTGTGCAAATATTATAGTGGCCTGTATGCGAAACATTAATGCAGCAGCCTCAATGGCCACACTACCACACAGCGGAGGACACCCCGGTCAGCTAATTCTATTTGGTCCTCTTTGCCGAGCAGTCATTCAGCAGAAAGTGAATCTGTCTCCGAGGGAGTCTCCGAGGACCATTACCACATCCTGTCAATGAGTTCTTTTATGGCTCTGGTGTACTCTTCTACCAGGCCAGCACATGGGCTCTGACTGACACATTAATTCCCCCTCTACGTCCATATCTTCCTGCAGTTTGCAGAATGAATGCCATATCACCACGTCTCAGCGACTTATCATTAATGGCTCGTCGGCTGGTGGTATCCTCCCAACTGAAGCGTTGGAGGTTACGTCCTGTAAAGCTGGCAGTACTCGCACAACATTACCGGAGGATTGGATGGGGATCAAACCATATATGTTAACAGCACCATTGCCTTCACCTCTCTTATTGTTTTAACATTATTCTCTTCTTGTCCCTGGTCTTTTTCATTCACTGGCTACTTCTTAATTGCCTTTTCCATTGTTCATTCTTTACATCTTTTCCTCCGTCACCATCTTGAAAAAGGAAAGAAGCCAATAGTAATATATATGCATGTAGATATA